GAAATGCTTTACTGCTTATCATTAGCCAACAATCACTCAGACATATAGTGCACTGATCATCTGCATTTCCTTTTTGTCCTTTATGGCTGAGCTGTGTGGTCAGTTCCATTATACTTACTGACAAATTCCAAGGAAACCCAAGTTGTCCAGTTTCCTTTTATTCATTCTCATGTTTCATATTAACAGACATCTTTGTCTACCACTGCAACCCAAACAACCAACCCTCTTTTCCACCCAACTTTTTGGTCTTCAGAGTTTACTACTTTAGAGTCTTAAGCATAAAAAACTGTTTTAAAGACAAGAACAGCGAGCATCAGGAAATCTAGCATGTGTACCATAAAATTATCCTTTGAAAGCCATCAGGATTATGAATCTAATAGAATACATACTTGTATAATTTTTCATTATAAAAGCAATGCAAACTGGGGCGCCTGGGTGGCTCAGTCAGTTAAACATCTGCCTTCGGCTCAGGTCATGATCCCAGGGTCCTGGGATGGAGCCCCCCATTGTGCTCCCTGCTCAGTGGGGAGTCTGCTTGTCCCTCTGCCTCTCTCCCTGCTTGTGCTTTCTCTCTCTCTCAAATAAATAAAAATCTTAAAAAATTTTTTTAAATAAAAAAATAAAAGCAATGCAAACTAACTGAAGAAAATTGGGAAATATTTAAAAATTTAAAAAATCAGCTATTATCTTACTAAGCAAACACAATAAATATTAACATTGAATATTTTCTTTTAAAATTTTCAACAGTGATGACTTGTGTTTATAATGCTTATAATCTGTTTTTTACTTAACATTATTATTTAGAATCTTTCCTTGGACAATGGAACATAAATATTTTAGGTATATTCAAAAATGTAATTTATTCATAAATTATATATTCAGATATAATTTCAAATAGTAACTATGAATAGTAAATATTTCATCTTGTAATTTCACCATAATTTACTGACGCATTACCCTATTATTTCCTATTTTCACTATTACACATAATGCTCTTCTAAATTCTTGTTATAAAAAATCTTATTGTGTTTTATAATTTGTTTTTAGACCAGATTCCCAAGATAGGTTAGGAATACAGACTCTGGAGTGAGACTGCCCGAGTTAAATCCTGTCTTAAATCCTTTCCAACTGTGTCACTTCAGGAAAGTCAACTAACCTTCCTGTGCTTCATATGTTTCCTCATCTGTAACAAGGAGAGGGTAGTAATAAAACCTATCTCATATGGTTGTTACGAGGACCAAATGATTAGTTTATATACAGCACTTGAAATAGTGTCTGAGGCATACTGTCAATACTATATAAATATCAGTATTAAAGTTTCTGAGCCTTAAAATTGCCTAAAACTTAAAAAGGTTTAAGGAATGTACATGCCTAGTGGTAAGGTATGTCCATTTTAATTTCATTAGATTCTCACCGGCATTTGAATATTTTTAGTGTGTGTTTTTGTGTGTGTATGTATTTCTGTTTATGAACTGATACGTGAAAAATTGTATTTCATTACTGTGTTACAGGGATTCCTTGTTTTCTGAGGAAAACCGCAGCTGGAAAGTAATGGCCATCTTTGTGATTTAATTTAGGTATGCAGGGCTTGTCTCTTAAGAAATAAATAAATCCATTGATTTGCATTATCTTTCTGATTTAGCTAATGATACTTATCTGATTTATTTAATAACTTTCATTTAAAAAATAGCACTCATATATTTTTTTATTCCTCATTATGTGTTATAGACTCAATGCTTATGCCTCTCCCTTAATTCTTATGTTTAAACCTAATGCAAAATGTGATGGTTTTTGGGAGTGGAGTCCTTGAGAGGTGACTAGGTCATAAGGGCTGAGCCCTCGTAAACTGGATTGGATTAGTGTCCTTATAAGAGACCCTAGAGGGCTCCCTCACCCCTTCCACTATGTGAAGACTCTCTGTGAACCAGGGTACAGGCCTTCACCAGACACCGAATCTGCAGGCACCCTTATGTTGGGCTGCCCAGCCTCCAGAAGTATAAGAAATGTTTGTTGGTTAAGCCCCCCAGGCTAGGATATTTTTGTTATAGCAGCGTGAATGGCATCTGATTTTGTTGTTCACTCCAGTCTTTTGTTACCACAAGTCTCCTATTCTGGAATTAGAAACTTTTGCTTCCTTTACCTGGTAAACTTACTCAAATATATTTTTTCAAAAAGGTACGTTAGTGATCTTGCTGATCTAAAAATATCTTTTTGTTGCTTTCATACATGAATGATAATTTAGATATAAACATTTTGGGACATTACTTTTCTTAAAAGATTTATGGATTTTGTTTCATCGTCTTCTTCCAGTCATGGTTTCACAGTACACATCCGAATACAATATAATTTCCATTTCTTTGAAGTCAAAACCTCTCATGTGTCTCTTCACACTGGTTAAATGAATGTAGTTGCTTCTTGCCATAAAACTATAAAATGTTACCAGAAAATATTGTGAAACTATTATCTTTCCAATTCACTTTCTTTGTTGAGAAATTCAGTTTTCCTGATTTCTATTCCTAAATTTTTCTATTATATACTTGTTTTCTATTGTTTCCTTCTTTAGAAACTAATAATTAGTTGAAGGTGTATTAACCATAACCTATCCTCTATAGACATTATCTTCTCCATGTTTTGTCTTTTTATTAATTTACTAAAAATCTGAGTGTCAATAAAATTTATTTTGTGTCTCATTGTTTCAATTTTCTGGAATAACCAGTATGGTTTTACTGCTATTAGCATGGTTTTCTATTTCCATGTTCTTAGTTTTAAAGGCTGCTTTTCTTAGTTCATTTTGTGTCCAGTTTATAGTGGTTTTGCCTTCTTTATAATATGGTATTCTATTTTAATGCAAACAATATTCTTTTGATCATTCTTGAGATCATTAAATAGATGTTCTTAATAAACCTACTGCATGGGAAGGATTTTCTTCTGATATATGAGAGGATACTTCTTCTCTTTCCCATTCTTTTTCTTTACTCATCCTTAAATAAAGATCTATTTCAAGAAAAGACACACCTCACAACTTTTCTGAGCTATCTCAGTTTGTTTAGCTGTTGAAGAGTACTCTGGTGCTTATACTGCCTATGGAACTCCTAGGATATGGCAGGTTTTCATAAGTGGTAGGTTCTCCTTCCTCTTCACAACTGCCTCCCCTACTGTCTGTAGGGATTGGGTCTGGGCTGAGACAGATGATGTTCTAGTGCGTATCTCAAGCTACTGCAGTATGAGTACTCTGACTCAACTATCATAGTAACAAAGAGAACATTCAAATTCAGTCACAATTTGATTCTAAACAAGTTATATCAAAACTCAGGTTTTTATTTTCTGGCGCACATAAAAAGGAAAAAGGGAAAATAGAAACAAATACTGGAAAGAAGGTCATGAGATTACAAACGATTGAACTTAGCAGATATTAGTATTCTCATTTTACATATTAAGAACAAAGTCTTCTACAAATATCAAATCATTCTGTCATATACCTAAAACTAATATAATGTTTTATGTCAATTACAGCAATAATTTTTTTTAATTGTTAAAATTTACCTTAAAAAATCTCAAAGATAGTTAAAGCACTTGACTAAGGTCATGGAGATACAAAGTGTTAGAATTAGGGTTCAGATAGTTCTTTAGACTTAATGTGATTTCCTTTACACTACAGGAAATCTAGAAAGAGACTTTTTTGAATATTTTGTTTTAAAGAAGGTATTCCAGCATCATATACCAAGTGGTTGGTATAACTCAATACTATTTTATTATTTTCAAAAAGAGTCTTATTGTGAGAAAAGTAACACACAAGTATATAACCTTCGACTGAAAGCTAGCACATTAAAAGGCCAGGAAGGGAGGAGTGGAAATAGACAAATACCACATAATTTCACCATATGTGAAATTTAAGAAACTGAACAAATAAGCAAAGGGGGAAAAACAGAGAGAGAGGCAAACCAAGAACTAAACTCATAATTGTAGAGAATACGCTGAAGGTTACCAGAGGGGAGGTGGGTGGGGGGATGGGGGAAACAGGTGATGGGGATTAAGGAGGGCACTTGTGATGAGCACTGAGTGATGTATGGAAGTGTCGAATCATTATATCGTACACCTGAAACTAATATCACACTGTATGGTAACTAACTGGAATTTAAATAAAAATTTCAAAAATGTTAATAAAAAAATAAAAGAACAGGAGAACTCCAAAAAAAAAGAAAAGAAAATACAAATGCTTTCTGAGTTGAACTGATTGGTTAATGCCATCCACAATCTCAATCATCATCAGACAGGATCTTAAATTCTAACTAGCTGGAATGTGAAATTGCCAAAGTAATATATTGCATTCACTTCTCAACTTCTTCAGTGTTACTTATGTTCTCATTCATTTCTAACAGAGGTGAAGAAATTATCAGGACCAATGAGCATCAACCAAGTTACAGATTTACAAAGAAAAGCAGCAAACTGTTCATTAATAAGAAAGGATACTTTCTATAAAGTATACTTTCTATAAAGTATAATGTACTCACATTCCATTTCTAGTAATAAAATAAAATATTTGCAAAGTCATTAATTGATTAAACAACTATTACCAAATTAAAATTTGGAAGGTTCTTTGATAAGTATAGAATCTGATCAAAGGCAGACTGACTATTTAATTAAGTATTTCATCCAAATGACGATAAGTTGTTTACCCCATTATACAACCAAATACTTTTCTTTTTGTCACAAAAAAATTCTGATTTCAAATTCTCTTTTTTCTAGGTTTTGCATTATATTCCAACCTTACTACATATTACTATCTTAAAAATTTGTATCACATTGTATCGTAGTTTCCTATTAGGATACAAAAGAATGGTTGTAACTAATTTAACTTGTTCTTTTATACTTTTTATATCCTTTTGTACTTTTCCTATGAGATAAGCAGAGCTCATTTTTATAGGCTATACCTTTTTATTTAATTACTAGTTAAAGAAATATTTTCTAATGAAGATGAAAATAAATTCAAGCATACTTACCACATGAAGAATTTTATTCTCTGTTTCATACACAGTACAATCCTTTAAAAAAAAGAAACATACACATCAGTTTTAAAAAAGTCAAACATGCCTTTTAAAATACTTTCTTAGTGAATAAAGACGATGTGATCTTTAAATTAAAAAAAATAAAATACTTTCTTAGGAAATGTACAATTTGAAAAAGTCTTGACAATTCCAACAAAAACAGCAATAAGAATGGGAAAAAAATCTGGAATGCCATATACCAAAATATTCATTGTATTTAACTATGATGGTCAGTTACAGAGATATTCTTATTTTTGCTTAACCATATTTTCCAATTTTATACACATATTAAAAAATAAACATACAAAATCAATTAGAAAAAATTATTGTAACCATTTTCTACCTAAATTTTTATGTGTGATAAGTACTTTTTTGTTGAAGTATTTCTAGCATTTCAAATACTAATTTATTATAGATTAGAACATAAGGAAAAACACTAATATTTATTTCAATAGTCTTAGTTTCAAAAATGCTTTTATATTTTCAACTGTTGTAGGCTATCAAATATCCTTTATATTATGCATTTAAAATTGATACACACTACTAACAAATATCAAGTTCATAGTTCTTACCTAAATTTGAATCCTTGAAATTATAAAAAATTGTTTCTAAAAATCACCATTGTCTTTTTACCTGTAGTTGCTAGATTTACAACGAATAAAAATATAGCAAAGTGATCTTTGCTTAGAAACTTTGTTTCTATAGCTCATTTTTCTTAAGAAATTGATAAAATGGGCATGACATTAGTAGTAACCCAATGACGGTATTGTGAGGAATAAATGAGAAAATGGATAAATGGCTTAGCACAGTATCTGGCATACAGTAAGTGATAAATACATTTTAACCATGAGTTATTGTTGTTCTATGTCTTTATTTTAAAAATTTAATCTAATTACCTTTACTTCAAAATATAACGTTAACTAATTGCTATTTGACCATCTAATTTTGAAAGAACAACCATGTTTCACAGTACTGCATATTTTAAGGAATGATAGCCCATTTCATTTTCTCCCCTGAATTTAATTTTAAGAAAAGGAATCTTGTTGAACATAGTTTTTGATAATGCCATTTCACCACAATACCTTGTCAGAAGTATTACATAATCTTATTGGGGCAAAAGTTTTAAAGTTAAATTTGTGTGATTTATTTTACAAATTAATAGAAATACTTAAGGATTGGGCCTTGCTATACTGAAGGGCTTCTGTGCCGAAGAAGTTTGTTACAAATTTAGACATATCTATGTCTCTATAAATTAAGTATGAATTATGTGTGCAGGGGAGACAAAGTATAGATAAAGCATTTATACTGGGAAAGTACATTGTACTTACATCTGAATTTGGAAGAGTCCAATTTTACATTAATTTCAAACACAATTATATCAGTAAGAGATGATTTGGGAAAAGCTGGAAAGTTGCCCAGTTTCCCCAAGCTGCCTGTACAACCTGCTACAGCTATAATGGATGCAAGTTTGATTATTTACCTACCTTCCCAGAATCAGAGAATATGATTAAATGTTCAAACTTCAAAGGGATTCTCCTCAAGGAAAAAAGCAAATATGATCTAAATGGATATCCTGCTAGTGATACAATAATCATACAGAGAATAACTATTTCAAGTTCTTCAAAATATAATACTTTACTTGCACATCCCTAGTGTGACACAACAAAAAGAACTATTAAACAAAATCTTATACTATTGTCAGTAATCATATTGTTTGTTGGTAGTAGTGTTGTTAGTCTGTTACTGTTTTGCTGAAACTACTGTGTTTCTTTCAAAGGGTGAAGCAGTCGAACAGTTATGTGATACTATCATTCTATCAGTTTTGGTGTCCTAAGTAATTTTAGCATGAGACAAAGTAGATACATAGACAAGGTAAGTAGAACCTAGAGTCTCTTGATGTATTACGTGGTACACATATGTATTTCTTAGTTCCAACCAGTGAAAAGACAAACAATCAACTGAGTAATGAATAAATTCCTCACAGTGATTTTCAAATACCATTTCCCAGGCCTTCTAGGAAAATGGTGGATTCCAAATCTGGGGTAGGAAATGTACAAGATGAGCTTGGACTGTACTGTGACACAGATAGAAAGAAGCTATTGAACTCTACAAGGGTTGTGCCAGCAGGATTCAGAAGTCAACATGAGGTGATTCTTACTGGCCAAAGATGGAGCAATTGGGAATCTAAAAAAATAATAGTTGCAATGAATGGAAACAGTAAAGTACATATTAATTATTACATGTATTAATATAGTTGATGCTAAATTTTATATGTACCAAATACATCCAAATATATTCAGTAACAGTTGTGTAATACTGAATATATTAAACATGGCCCCTGACTTAGAAAAGCACAGTTTAAGGAGACAGGCATTCACACAAGTAAGTTAAAATATGCAGATTCCCCAAGTCTTCACAAAGTTTAAGTTTCAATAACTTTACCAGTATGAATGCCACAAAAATATAGAAATCAACATGTGAAAAGCCAATTATTTAAAATTTTAAAATACTGATATATTTCTCATTAAAATGTAAAGTGACGATTGTGCTGTGCTATATACATTGCTCAAGTCAAATTTCAAACTTTGTAAACACATTCATCAGCTCCTGCTTCTCAGTGACTAAAAGGATTATATCCATAATCTGAGCTTTAAGATTATTCAAAGAATGAAGTACTGATGCATACCTGACAATTCTAACATGACCAACAAGACAAAGTCTAAAAGAGATACATCAGGTGACTGAGGTGGACAAGGTTTTCCACCAGTCTAAAAATCTGTCACAAATATTAAAATTAAAAACTTACTGTTTGAAATAAACAAAACCAAATGACTACAAAAGAAATTGGAATAATTAAATTTTCAAAGGAGGCTTGCATTATGTTTGTAGCATATTCCCATATGTGAACTTATTAAAGCTTAAATCTGCACTAACACATTTGGGACACTCACAATTACTATAATAAAGGCAGGGTCATAGGGCTGGGGGAGCAGAGGAGGAAACAGCTAACTCTGCCTTAAAAAAATCGGGAATGGTGGCTTTTAATTGGGTCTTGGAAAAAGTAGGTTTTTAGGTAAAGAAAATAAAGGCGGCATTACTGCAAAAGCAATAAAACTACACTCCAACACTGTTGAGCTACTGTCATAATTTTCAGATTTCAGCTCTGTATATATGTAAGAATCACTTGGAAAGTGGGTTAAAATGCAGATTCCCAGGTTCAGCCCCAGATACACAGATCGGGTAGACCTGGAGTGGGGGCCCCAGCATGATTCTGATAAAGATGGTATTTTGAAAAACAATCTATTTTATAGGATAAGATGTGATAGAAGAACGCCAAAGTAAATCAAACCAAAAATGACCAAATATATAGAACCTGTAAGACAATAAACTGATTTGTAAATAGTATCTGCTGGGTCACTCGAAACAGTTCTCAACTCTTCGGAACTACCTGCTTTTGTTACACATTCCCCCCATTTATTGATTGGCTTTTCTTTTTGTCCTCCTAGTAAACTTCTTTCTTTCTTCAACTGCTCACTACTTTGAATAACTGCTTCCACTTGTTTATATCTATACCTTCTTTCAGCCAGATCGGCCTGTTCATTATGAAAGCCAAAGGCTTTCACAGAGTGTGGGACAGAGCATAATGAAAACCAAACAGAACAAAACAATACAAAAAGGTATATATTAACCTACTTTATATTAGGGAGAAGAACAGAAACTAAATGACTATGTTCTTTTTACTTAAGCTATCATGTTAAGGAGTTCATTTTATCATGCTAAATATTTAAATAGCCATAGGTACCTTAGGGGATTCATTTTTAATAAGTTATTTTATTTCCATCAAGACATGAATTTAAAATATTGGCTTCTCAAGTGTGGGTTTTATTAACACTTAGGGCAAAATATTTTCCCAAAAGATCATACCCCAAGTTTTAAAAAGAAAATAGCACTGAATATGGAGAAATCCACATTTTTAAGGACCTATTCATGCTAAGAAAAGGTACACCTCTGACGTTCTACTTATTTTTAGGTTAGGATTAAATATAGATTTTTAAAAAAGATTGGATTTAGAGCTATGCCACTATATACTCCTAGGAATTCTCTTCAGTAGCTCATGCTCTTTTACTGTGCATGCAAAATGACACTTGCAATTTCTTCTTTATCATTTTCCATATAATGCTTCTACAAACCATGTGATTTAAAAACCACATTTAAATGCATCAAATTCCTAACAAGACAATATTCATAAGGATAATGAGTGTTTTTTCAGTTTTGATCATTTTTTCCTTTTGAAAAGCCTAAGTATGCACAGAAACCGTCTCCCACGGAAGAGCTATGTGCCCACACAGGATCATAATCAGTTATTGTTTTTGTGAAACAGTGATGCAACTGCCGTACTGAGCAGAACACATAGAAACACTTCTGTTACCACTGATGCTCCATACTTTGTCAACACATTTTAAGCATCCTGGGGTCACGATGTTCAGTAAAAGTAATTATTTCTCATCAACTGTGGATTATAGTCATAGGAACAGCTCACAGGTTATTAATATTGAATACATAAAGCAAGAGAGTGAAGAAAAATAGTGTATGTTTCTAATGCTGTATAAAATTATATTTCATGGAACTTTGTAACTATGAATGCCTCTTTTTTTTTTTTGAGAGAGGGAGCATACATGCATGCACAGGGGAAGGGCAGAGGAAGAGGGAGAGAGAATCTCAAGCAGGCTCCACGCCCAGCTCAGAGCCTGAGGCGGGGCTCTATCTCATGACCCTGAGATCATGACCTGAGCCAAAATCAAGAGTTGGATGCTTAACCAACTGAGCCACCCAGGCGTCCCTAAAAATATTGTTTTTTTATATGTAATATTTAAATCATCCATTTATGCAAACCTTTAATAATGGCACCTTTGTACCAAATACTTCACATATTCTATTGTCAAGGTACCAAAATGTTTTCAGTGCTGAAGTGATTAATTCATATGAGCTGGTGTTAG